AGAGGAGGAGGAGGGAGGAGGAGGAGGAGGAAGAGGGAGGGGGAGGAGGAGGAGGAGGAGGAGGAGGAGGAGGAGGAGGAGGAGGAGGAGGAGGAGGAGAGCCCGGGCTCAGGCCGCTTCCAGACGGAGGCTGCGAGCCAGAGCCAGGCGGCCCTCGGCCGCTATCTTCCTTGCCCCCTCGCCCATAGCAGTGGATCCTCCTTGGCGTGCAGGTCGGCCCCGACGCACAGCCCGCGCTCGGCGCGAGCAGGCTGCGCGTGCGCAGGCCCGGGCCGCACAGACGTTGCTGAAGAGTTTTGCCTCCCTGCACCACAGAGGCTGCCAGGCCACCCGGATTGGTGCAGCACTGGCCGCTGCTTTACGGCCTCTGGTTCCACCTGCTGCCCGTCAAGCTGCACCAGCTGCGGAGCCTCCTCCAGTGCCGCCTGCTCCACCACCTCCTCCAGTGCCCATCGAGCCCCCCAAGGACGAGCAGCTGTGCACTCCTGCCGCCATCCTCGAGGAGAGCATTGGCGAGCACTCCACTCTCGGGCGCAGGCGCAGCACGCCTATCCCGAGCCGGGCGCACTCTGCAGGGGGAAGCTCGTGCCATTCCGCAGCGAGTTCTGTCGCCCCTCCAGCCGCGATGGAGCACGAGGTGCCCGCCGCCGCGACAGTTGAGGTTGAGCCACTGCAGGACAGCCAACGGGCTGCCAAAGGAGCAGCGGACGCAGACCAGCAAGGACCCGCGGGGCAGGCGCTTCAGACGGGAAATCCTGCTCGCGTGCTGCTGGAAGGTCAGGCAGTGCGCATCGTGGGCATCAAGGGCCGCACGCTCCTCAATGGCACCGAAGGATACTTGGGAACGTATCATACTGGCAGCGACCGTTGGGTCTTCAAATCTGGGTCGGAGGCCTTACGCATTCGCCCATGCAACCTAGAGTGCGTCGGCAAGAGCACCAAGCAGGTTCTCAGGCATGCTTTTCACAAGGCAGCGGAAATATTCCAGTACCACAGCAAGTTCATGACGAATGACGTCTTCGACAGGCTTTACGACTTCGCAGCGAGTCAAGGGCAGCCGGGCGTTGGCATGTTCTTCAGAGATTTGTGCCAGCACGAGCAGATCTTCGACCAGTGGTACGCGCGCATGGGGCCAAGGACTTCCAGTACTTCCTGAGCCCCTTGCACCAGCTCTGAGGTTTAGCGAGTGTGCTGAGTGGACGTGTTTGCTGGATTCGGCTCGTTTTCCCTCGTCGCCTCGCTGGGCTCGGCTCGTTGCGCTTGGTGTCGGGTGTTCGGGGCTCTTCGTCGCCGTTTATTCTGCAATGTCCGCTTCTTTCTCAGCCCTGAGCCCTGGCGGGCCCGTGGCTCCGCCTGATGCCCTGAGCCCTCGCGGGCCCGTGGCGCAGGCTGTCCCTGCTCTGACAGGGTGTCGGGTCCCCGTTCCTGCCTCGGCTGGCTGCCGGGACCGTTCGCGTGCTTTGCTCGCTCTCTGCGCTGTCTCTCTTCGGCCCTGTCCTGCGCCCTTTTTCCCTGCTCCTGATGGGTTTCGCCTCGCGCACATAATCCTGACCGCAAGTCCAAAAGGAGGAGGAGGAGGAGGAGGAGGAGGAGGAGGAGGAGAAGGAGAAGGAGGAGGAGGAGGGGGGGAAGGGGAAGGAGGGGGGAGGGGAGGAGGAGGAGGAGAGGAGGACGGAGGAGAGAGGAGGAGGAGGAGGAGGAGAGGAGGAGGAGGAGGAGGAGGAGGAGAGGAGGAGGAGGAGGAGGAGGAGGGGAGGGAGGAGGAGGAGGCGGAGGAGGAGGAGGAGGAGGAGGGGGAAGAGGAGGAGGAGGGGAGGAGGAGGGAGGAGGAGGAGGAGGACGAGGAGGAGGAGGATGAGGAGAAGGAGGAGGAGGGAGGAGGAGGAGGAGGAAGGGAAGGAGGAGGAGGAGGAGAGGAGGAGGAGGGAGGAGGAGGAGGAGGAGGAGGAGGAGGAGGATGAGGAGGAGGAGGAGGAGGGGGAGGAGGAGGGGGAGGAGGAGGAGGAGGGGAGGAGAAGGAGGAGGAGGAGGAGGAGGAGGAGGCAGAGGAGGAGGGAGGAGGCGGAGGCGGAGGGAGGAGGAGGGAGGAGGAGGGAGGCGGACCGTGCCTCTTCCCCTGGGGCGGCCTCGCCTGTATGGGCGCCCGCCGCATGCCCCCCCCCGGGCTTCTATAACCGCTGCGCCCGGGGCTGCGTGCAGCGGCCGCCGCTGGGCTCCCCGCAGGTTCGTGCAGATGGACGGGCGCCTCACGCCGGCGAGGTCGACGCCGGAGCAGGCAGGGGCTCTCTATCAGGAGGGAACAAAAACACACACAGGCACAATTCATCGTCGATTCCCCCGAAAAATATTGGAAAACATGGGAAGTGGGGGGGGGAAGACAGAAACCGAGAAAATATTGAAAAATATGGGGAATCCGGTTATTTTTATGTATTAATTTGTGTGTCCCAGGGCCCCTTCACTCTAGGGCTCTCACATGGGGTCGGAGTAGACGGGCGTCGGCGATGCGACTCGATGTGGAGCCCGCTTTGCTCCACGCCGACGTCGCCGATGCATCGCCCACGTCGGCGATGCATCGCTGGTGCATCGCCTCGCCGATGCACCGCCGATGCCTCGCCGATGTATCGCCGATGCGGCGCGATCCTCCGACCCCATCTACTCGGACCCCATCTAGGAGGCCTCAAGGTTCGACGGACGGGGGTCAGTGCAAACGGTCGGTGAGCCACAGCTCGAAGGAGAAAAACGCCACAAACATAAGCATGTGGCGCTCCACGCGGATATCTTGGATCCGCGCCAGGCCCCCCTGGCGGCGCCTTCGGCGTTGTTTTTGGCGCGCTCCGCGCGCCAGGGGGGTTCAGCGCGGATCCAAGAAATCCGTGCGCAGCGCCACATGTTTATGTTTATGCCGTTCTGTTATCCTTCTAAGGGCGCCCGATCTTGCAGGATCCTGGAGAGCCAGGGGTGCATTGACCCGGCCTAGCGCGCAGGATCCTGCAGGATCCGGTAGGATCCTGCAAAGCCTGAGTGACCCGGGTGTGGATTGACCCCGGGCCGCAGATCCCCCGACCAGGCCACCGCCTCCATCGCTGGTGCGGGCAAAGTTCATCTCTATATATCCAGTTCGTCTTGGACTTTCTTGGAATGGGCGCCACAATGCCGAGCGCACTGGACATGGATGAAATGCATCCCCTAGTGGCCAAATTTTTTGTCCATATCCTAGGGAAGGGGGCCCGAAACTCTAAGCTGCAGCGGATATGGACACAAGCCTTGCCCGCAGGTGTTTCAAAGATGGGGTCCTGAGGGACGGGGTGACGGGGTCCTAAGGACGAGGTGCTTCAAACAACGTAAATCCACCCTCGGATCCTTTTCTATCCTTATCCTTAGGGTCCCATCGCTCAGAACCCCATTGTTGAACCAAGGTTTCCCTCCAGCTCGCCCGCCGCTCCACTGGCGTTCTTTGCCCTGCCCCACTCTTTCGCTGAGCCCACCCGATTCCTTAGCGATACAAGCAAGCAGCTCTCCAGCCTGGGCCAGCGCCTCCTCCCCCTCTCCACCTCGTCTCTCCTCCTTCTCCTTGTCCCTCCTCCGTCCTCCCTCCTCCCTCCTCCTCCTCCTCCTCCTCCTCCTCCTCCTCACGCTCCTCCCTTCTCCTCCTCCTCCCGCCACCTCCTCCCCCTCCTCCTTTTCCTCCTGCTCCTCCCTTCCCCTCCTCATCTGTATCCTCCTCCCTCCACCTCCCTCCTTTTCCTGCTGCCTTCCCTTCTTGCTCCTTCTTCTCATTCTCCACTTCTGTCCCTCCCCCTTCCCTCCCCCTCAACCTCCTCGTCCCTCCTCCTGCTCCTCCCGCGTCCTTCTCCGCCTCCTGCTCCTGTTTCTCATCACATTCTCCCCCCCCTCCCTCTTCATTCTTCTCGCCCCCCCTCCTCCCCCTCCTAACTCTTCCCTCCCTATCTCCCAGGCATCCCACGTCGTGATCTTTGTCCACAATGCATCTCCCCATAGGTGTGGACCCCTCTCCAGTGGCCACGCTCTTCACGGCGAGTTGTTTTTTCTTCGTCCTGGGTCTCGTTGAGGGCACCCCGAGCTTGAAAACAAGTACCCTGTGACGTACCCAACCCATGTGTATCAATGGAAACGAGGAGGTGGCCGAAACTTGCATGGACAATCAACTTGATGTGTAAGCTACTTGGGGCACGCGCCTATGGCATGATGCGCAGGAGAACCATACAAGAACCAGGGGCGACAGCTACAGGCTCGAAGAGGACATGGGGAGTCGGGAACGCAGAGCAGCAGAACAACGTGCGGGAAGCCGAACCATCAGCATGGCAGCAGCAGAGGGAAGGTGACTGCAGGAGGGGAACATGGACGAAAGCGGCGTCTAATTTGAGTCTGCGGTGGGTACCCACTGTGCTGTGCCCCTCAGCAGCCCTCGAAAGTGGCGACAGTCTCTCAGATCGCAGCCCCCCCAGGGATGGCGAGGTCTAATTTGAGTCTGCGGTGGGTACCCACTGTGCTGGGCCCCTCAGCAGCCTTCGAAAGTGGCGACAGTTTCACAGATCGCAGCCCCCCAGGGATGGCGAGGTCTAATTTGAGTCTGCGGTGGGTACCCACTGCGCTGGGCCCCTTGAGCAGCCCTCGAACGTGGCGACAGTTTCACAGATCGCAGCCCCCAGGGATGGCGAGGTCTAATTTGAGTTTGCGGTGGGTACCCACTGTGCTGTGCCCCTCAGCAGCCCTCGAAAGTGGCGACAGTTTCACAGATCGCAGCCCCCCAGGGATGGCGAGGTCTAATTTGGGCCTGCGGTGGGTACCCACTGTGCTGTGCCCTCAGCAGTCGAAAGGGCGGATCGCAGCCCCCCAGGGTGGCGAGGTCTAGTTTGAGTTTGCGTGGGTACCATTGGGCGCCCCTCAGCAGCCCTCGAAAGTGGCGACCGTTTCACATCGCAGGCCCCCAAGGTGGCGAGGTTTAATTTGAGTTGCGGTGGGTGCCCTCTGTGCTGGGCCCCGCAGCAGCTCTCGGAATTGGCGACAGTTTCACAGATCGCAGCCCCCCAGGGATGGCGAGGTCTAATCTGAGTTTGCGGTGGGTACCCACTGTGCTGGGCCCCTCAGCAGCCCTCGAAAGTGGCGACCGTTTCACAAATCGCAGCCCCCCAGGGGTGGCGAGGTCTAATTTGAGTTTGCGGTGGGTACCCACTGTGCTGTGCCCCTCAGTAGCCCTCGAAAGTAGCGACACTTTCACAGATCGCAGCCCCCCAGGGATGGCGAGGTCTAATTTGAGTTTGCGGTGGGTACCCACTGTGCTGGGCCCCTCAGCAGCCCTCGAACGTGGCGACCGTTTCACAGATCGCAGCACCCCCAGGGGTGGCGAGGTCTAATTTGAGTTTGCGGTGGGTACCCACTGTGCTGTGCCCCTCAGCAGCCCTCGAAAGTGGCGACAGTCTCACAGATCGCAGCCCCCCAGGGATGGCGAGGTCTAATTTGAGTCTGCGGTGGGTACCCACTGTGCTGGGCCCCTCAGCAGCCCTCGAGAGTGGCGACAGTCTCACAGATCGCAGCCCCCCAGGGATGGCGTGGTCTAATTTGGGTCTGCGGTGGGTGCCCACTGTGCTGTGCCCCTCAGCAGCCCTCGAAAGTGGCGACCGTTTCACAGATCGCAGCCCCCCAGGGATGGCGGGATCTAATTTGAGTTTGCGGTGGGTACCCACTGTGATGTGCCCCTCAGCAGCCCTCGAAAGTGGCGACAGTCTCACAGATCGCAGCCCCCCAGGGATGGCGAGGTCTAATTTGAGTCTGCGGTGGGTACCCACTGTGCTGGGCCCCTCAGCAGCCCTCGAACGTGGCGACCGTTTCACAGATCGCAGCCCCCAGGGGTGGCGAGGTCTAATTTGAGTCTGCGGTGGGTACCCGCTGTGCTGTGCCCCTCAGCAGCCCTCGAAAGTGGCGACAGTCTCACAGATCGCAGCCCCCCAGGGATGGCGAGGTCTAATTGGGGTCTGCGGTGGGTACCCACTGTGCTGTGCCCCTCAGCAGCCCTCGAAAGTGGCGACCGTTTCACAGATCGCAGCCCCCCAGGGGTGGCGAGGTCTAATTTGAGTTTGCGGTGGGTACCCACTGTGCTGGGCCCCTCAGCAGCCCTCGAAAGTGGCGACAGTCTCACAGATCGCAGCCCCCCAGGGATGGCGAGGTCTAATTTGAGTCTGCGGTGGGTACCCACTGTGCTGGGCCCCTCAGCAGCCCTCGAAAGTGGCGACAGTCTCTCAGATCGCAGCCCTCCAGGGATGGCGAGGTCTAATTTGAGTCTGCGGTGGGCACCCACTGTGCTGGGCCCCTCAGCAGCCTTCGAAAGTGGCGACAGTTTCACAGATCGCAACCCCCCAGGGATGGCGAGGTCAAAGGCAGGGGGAAAAGAGGGACGGGAAGGAAGGAAGGAAGGTTCGCGCGAGCAGTGCTCTATTCAAAACGAGAACCCAACGCAGGAGGGTTGGAAATTAATGACTTTGAGACCCGAGGCTCCGAAACAAATTGGAGCGGCCCTTTTGTCCTATGTTCGCACTCAGGGGACCGTAAGAAGGACGACTCAGGACGAACAGCCAACACCAGGGAAGTGGCCCAAACCTCCAAGGGTCCACGCGAAGACGTTGGAGCGCCAGACGTCTGGGCAGTTTCCTTCAAGCGGTTGCCTTCAGCGACCGCGAGGCGGGACACCCAGGAAGCACAGGGCCCATCTGACCAGCCTGGAACATATCCCTATCCCTATGCTGGGCACCTCTTCATCACGATGCCAATCTTAAGGATTTCCTTATTTTTTGAGGGCGGACCCCTAAGATTGTCATCGCCTTTTGGCGCGTGTCAATCTTAGGGATAGGGATACGTTCGAGGCTGGTAACCATCGGGGCCTCGGCCGCGGCACGCGGTCGTCGTCCATCGCAGGCGCGAAGCCGGACTCCCAGGGAGCATCGGGGCATGCGGGGCCCGCCGCCCGCGTCCTGCAGGGAACGCCAAACAGCCCTCCGGGAGCCGTTGGTCGTGCCCTGACGCACCCGCTCACTTCGTTTCGGTGCTGCCCCAGCCGCCGCGGCCTGCACGCGGGAGCCTGTTTCTTTATTGCTTGGGGCATGGCGGGCGTCATGGCCCCCGCTCCTCCCCCCCTAATGACGTAACGCTCCCCCCCCGTGCGCTCTGGGCACTGCCGCCGTGCGCATTGGGATCCGCGTAGGTGCAGGAATCCGCCTAGGAGTCTGGTCCGCAGTCGTCGTCGTCGTCGTCGTCGTCGTC